CCGCCCTCAACGGGGCGAGAAGTCGCAGGCCCACGGGCAGCCTCATACCAATCAAGATACGTGTTCAACCCTCTGGCTCTTCGTCTAACGATCCCACCCCAAAGCTCTCTGACAGACGAACAACGAGCCGGAAGTGGAAGTGGGCCGCGGGTGTCGGAAGGAGGGGCGTGGGCGCAGCATTGGACGCGGGATTGATTGATCTCCCTCCCAAATCCTTTTTCGGACCTGTCCATGTACATTTGTGTGTGTGTGGTGTTCATGTTAACGTTGACGTCTTGAAATGCCAGATGGATGCAATCCACGCCGCACAACGCGGCCCCGTGGCCCCATGCTGGTGATGTGGTGATCATGGTGACACATGCAGTCGAGTCGGGCGACGGACGCACGACAGACGATGGACGATGATTTCCACACCAGCCACCAGCCAGATCTTTTCTGTTCTGTTCTGTCCTATCCGGGTCGTGTGTGCTCGAGCGACACATGCTTGCTTGTTGATTCTGGTTCTGGACGTGGGCCGCCCCCATCGTCACGCTCGGTCACGGGCACGTGCACGGGCACGGCCAGGAGGAGGAGGGCGAGGGGGAGGGCAGGTCAGGTCAGATCGGCGTTCGCGCGTGCGTGCAAACGGCGAGGCGGGCAACGCGAGGGCAGGCAGCAGGCGCGCAAACGAGATATCAACAACACCAAGGAGTTTCACTCTCCTCTACGAAGAGGCGGCGGCGACTCACTGACGGAAGACGGAAAATCTGCTCAGGGGGGTGATTTCACAGATGGGGAATGTTGGATCTGTGAAGTAGGATGGAGCAAACCGGCAGGCAGCACACGTATCCTTGACATCAGGCTTGGTTCTGGGCCATTCCAGTCCTTCCTCTGGTAACCCCTTGCTGGTATGTCTGTGCGCATGGCGGGGCGCGTTCGGCATCCCTGGAAATCTCATACCGTTGCGTTCTGTCAGTGAATTGGTCCGTGCGTGGTTACGGACGCGTGGCACCAGGTGCGCGGTGACACCAGGCTGCCTTGTCCACTTCACATAGATGCACAGCAGTTTCGACCCGGCAGTCTATCTGGCAAGGGGTCTTTGTGGATTGCACTGCGGTGTCTGCGAGCAGATCACACCAGGGCCTTGTTAATCGAAATACGATATCTACAAGCGGGCCTCACCAAGGCTTTGTTGACTTCACACAGATTCACAGCAGACTCTGGCTTGATGAAAGGATGGCTTTGTGGATTTCACTGCAACATGCAGCAGATTCTAGGTTAAACACAGGGGTTCTTTGTTGATCGCACTGCGATATCTGCAAACAGACCCAACCAGGGCTTTGTTGACCATACACGGATGCATAGCAGTCTCCGCCTCGGTCACAGGGCGGCTTTGATGTTTTCGCTCACACCTCCGCACCTGCCTTCCAGCGTGCTATGGTATCATTCCTCGCGGCCTTCGTTTGTTTGATCTGCCTCTCAATAATTTGCAATTTCGTGTATAGATCGTCGACGGAGACGGTGAAGACTTGATTATCCGCGCTTGTGTCCACTCCTCGCGTAAGGCCGAAGTCGCTGAGTGACAGGGAGACTCCCGCGTCGGGATCGGGGTTCTTGTTACCGTCCCTGTTTCGGATTTCCTAGTAGGTATGATTAGTTATTGATATTACGGACGGGGAGGATATAGACTTACCACGACGTCACCACAAGCTACCTCTTTAAACCTCCCGTCTTCACCAAAGCTTGCTCTCCAAACAATAAGATATACTCTCTTACCAGTTGGATAGTCGAAGTCGATAGTAACCACAGTTCGAATATTGCCCTTAGTCTGCTCGATATACTCTCGTGCAAGGCCGTGTAGATCTTTTGTTTTCTGCGAGTCTGCGACTTCACAAACTAGGACTGGCCATGCGGGGTTCTTCGTGTTTATGATTGAGATATTAGGGTGACGCTCGATAAGACCCTTACCATCTTTTGATAGATATTCGCATTTTCCGGAGCCGGAATCTTGGAGCGATACGGTATCTTCAATCATATCGAGTCCATCGATAAAATAATCTAGACGATAATTGAAATATCGAACGACACGTTCGTGTCTTGGACCAGGCATTCTGAGAGCTAGCGTCTCGGCAGTGTAGGAATAGTCAGCTCTATCGTCGACAGTTAGCGAAGGGGGCTATTTAGCTCTCAGTCGCGGAAACCTACCTGACGCGCGATCCCGCAAACCTGTCGCACCGCTCTAACTCCTCCGTAAGTTGTCGGTATTGCTCTGCGGGGAGGAAGAATTCGATGATTTGATCTTCGCAACCTGGTTGGCTATGGAGGAATTTCGCAACCTATTGCAGTTCGAATGGGTATTCAGGGGCAGATGCAGACGCGGATGCGGATGCAGAGGCAGAGGCGGTGTCGCCCTCGGAAAAGGAAAGCGAGCCGGGGGCTCGGCCAGGAGCGAGAGGCTCCGGCGCGTTGCCCGGGCGTGAATCCATCCTGTGAAGTGATTTATATATATTTCGCCATTTGAGATGGCGAAGAAAGCAAGACAGTGCGGGGGCGGGCGCGTCTTTTATATGCAGTGAGTGTTGTATCCGGTGGAGTATTTGGCAACTTCATGTACAACAGCGGTGGAGCAGGAACACCTCGAGTGCATGATGCACCAGAAACCTTTGTTAATCACTGCAAACAAAGGCCACCAGGGGTGTGTTAATTGCACACAGATAGACAGGAGTCTCTCCTTTGATAACACAAGGTCTTTGTTGATTGCACTGTGGTCTCTGCAAAAAGACCCCACCAGGGTTTTGTTGATCCGACACGGATGGGCAGCAGTCACTCGCTGCCTTGGCGACAGGGCGTCTTTGTTCGGGCTGTAAGTAAATCCACCAGGGCTGCTTTGTCAACTGCACTTGGACGTAGGCCAGTCTCTCCCTTGATGCCAGGGGGTCTTTGTTGATGGCACTGCGATGCCCAGTAAGACCCCAGCGATGCTCGGCACGGATGCGACACGTGCCAACGGCTTACATTGCATTTTATGTTTTGTGCCTCGTCGGGAATCACCCGGTGGAACGGGAGCCTGTCTCCGAGGATTGGGCAAGCCTCAGCAACCAACGGTTTCCATTGTTTTAATTTCTTGACCTTTTCATCTGGAGTAATCTTACGTTTCAGCCCCGAGATAAGAAGTCCGTCCGTAGTCAGAGCCACGTCATAGTTTCTGAGCACGGACCACATGGCTTTGCGACCGTCTCCATGGCGTATATGGACATTTAGACGAGCTCGCGGTAGAAGGATCTTCGATTTCTCGCTTTCATTGATGAATTAGTGCCATAGTTGCCACAACAAGGGTAGGATAAGGTTTGTCGGCGGGAGGCGACCGCTCAAGCATCAACGGGATGTATATTTCGTCGTCGCATCCGCGAGTGGCTTCTATGAGGTGACTGTGGTGGTCGTGGTTGTCGAGAAGACCCTGGAGCTCAGCTGTCTCCCAAGGGCTATCCCCAATCGGCCTTGTCGCCAGAGCCATCGCTCCCACTATCGGGTGATGTCTGTGGCCAGCCATCATGAGCCGGACGAGTCTCTGTGGTGGCCGCAGCAGCAGGCTCATTCGTCGTGGTGGGTGATATACCCCGGGTTGTTGATGTTGGAGTATCATTCCAGTCGCGCCATTGATTTTCAGAATACGACTCGGTGCTTACTGGAGCAACTGTGTTTTCTGATGAAGTTTTAGGTGTCGGGTGTGGAAGTCTTCCAGGCCCCGTTGGATTATTTGAAGGGCGTGTCTAGACGGGTCGAGTACTCCTCCGTTTTACATTTGTCAACCCGGCGACGGTCTCCGAAGTAGGGGTGCCAGTGCACTCGGATGTGCTTTGAATAGGGCCCTTTGATTGTCCAGTTTGCCACTCCTCCGGATGAGAGGCAGTAGTTGACCTGGGCGGATGGAAATGTGAGGTGCTTGTAGACGTGGAAGTGGATATTCCGGTAGGGTCAACACTAAATGCACCAGGCGTCGAGCTGCTACTGGTTCCTTGAGAGGTAGGATGTACGGGTAAGGAAGCTGTACCAGCTGTCACCCGGGAAGCAGGGCTGTTACAATGACTGTTACAATACGCTTCCCGGCCGACAACACCCCATAGGGTGAACGGCCCCCAATGCCAAGGCGGACCCCAATGCCAAGGCGGACCCCAATGCCAA